AGTGAATACAACTAGGTGAATACAACTAAGTGAATACAACTACGTGAATACAACTAGGTGAATACAACTAGGTGAATACAACTAGGTGAATACAACTAGGTGAATACAACTAGGTGAATACAACTAGGTGAATACAACTAGGTGAATACAACTAGGTGAATACAACTAGGTGAATACAACTAGGTGAATACAACTAGGTGAATACAACTAGGTGAATACAACTAGGTGAATACAACTAGGTGAATACAGCTAGGTGAATACAGCTAGGTGAATACAACTAGGTGAATACAACTAGGTGAATACAACTAGGTGAATACAACTAGGTGAATACAACTAGGTGAATACAACTAGGTGAATACAACTAGGTGAATACAACTAGGTGAATACAACTAGGTGAATACAACTAGGTGAATACAACTAGGTGAATACAACTAGGTGAATACAACTAAGTGAATACAACTAGGTGAATACAACTAGGTGAATACAGCTAGGTGAATACAACTAGGTGAATACAACTAGGTGAATACAACTAGGTGAATACAACTAGGTGAATACAGCTAGGTGAATACAACTAGGTGAATACAGCTAGGTGAATACAGCTAGGTGAATACAGCTACGTGAATACAACTAGGTGAATACAACTAGGTGAATACAACTAGGTGAATACAGCTAGGTGAATACAACTAGGTGAATACAACTAGGTGAATACAACTAGGTGAATACAACTAGGTGAATACAACTAGGTGAATACAACTAGGTGAATACAACTAGGTGAATACAACTAGGTGAATACAACTAGGTGAATACAACTAGGTGAATACAACTAGGTGAATACAACTAGGTGAATACAACTAGGTGAATACAACTAGGTGAATACAACTAGGTGAATACAACTAGGTGAATACAACTAGGTGAATACAACTAGGTGAATACAACTAGGTGAATACAACTAGGTGAATACAACTAGGTGAATACAACTAGGTGAATACAACTAGGTGAATACAACTAGGTGAATACAACTAGGTGAATACAACTAGGTGAATACAGCTAGGTGAATACAACTAGGTGAATACAACTAGGTGAATACAACTAGGTGAATACAACTAGGTGAATACAACTAGGTGAATACAACTAGGTGAATACAACTAGGTGAATACAACTAGGTGAATACAGCTAGGTGAATACAGCTAGGTGAATACAACTAAGTGAATACAACTAGGTGAATACAACTAGGTGAATACAGCTAGGTGAATACAACTAGGTGAATACAACTAGGTGAATACAACTAGGTGAATACAACTAGGTGAATACAACTAGGTGAATACAACTAGGTGAATACAACTAGGTGAATACAACTAGGTGAATACAACTAGGTGAATACAACTAGGTGAATACAACTAGGTGAATACAACTAGGTGAATACAACTAGGTGAATACAACTAGGTGAATACAACTAGGTGAATACAACTAGGTGAATACAACTAGGTGAATACAACTAGGTGAATACAACTAGGTGAATACAACTAGGTGAATACAGCTAGGTGAATACAACTAGGTGAATACAACTAGGTGAATACAACTAGGTGAATACAACTAGGTGAATACAACTAGGTGAATACAACTAGGTGAATACAACTAGGTGAATACAACTAAGTGAATACAACTAGGTGAATACAGCTAGGTGAATACAACTAGGTGAATACAACTAGGTGAATACAACTAGGTGAATACAACTAGGTGAATACACACACCACATTTTACTTGGCCAAATGAAATAGGAAAAAGAACCTTGGAGAGTTAATTTGTTCATTTCCTTCCCAAGTGAAGAACAGGTGTCACTATGGCGCCACTGTAGAGAGAACAAAAGGAAGAACAACATGAACAGTGGCAGTATTGCAAGAGAACACAACATACGACCCAACATGGCTTCAAGTAACACACCATGACCCAACATGGCCTCAGGTAACACAACACATGACCCAACATGGCCTCAGGTAACAACACATGACCCAACATAGCCTCAGGTAACACAACACATGACCCAACATGGCTTCAAGTAACACACCATGACCCAACATGGCCTCAGGTAACACACCATGACCCAACATGGCCTCAGGTAACACAACACATGACCCAACATAGCCTCAGGTAACACAACACATGACCCAACATGGCTTCAAGTAACACACCATGACCCAACATGGCCTCAGGTAACACAACACATGACCCAACATGGCCTCAGGTAACACATCACATGACCCAACATGGCCTCAAGTAACACACCATGACCCAACATGGCCTCAGGTAACACAACACATGACCCAACATGGCCTCAGGTAACACATCACATGACCCAACATGGCCTCAGGTAACAACACATGACCCAACATGGCCTCAGGTAACACAACACATGACCCAACATGGCCTCAGGTAACAACACATGACCCAACATGGCCTCAGGTAACACAACACATGACCCAACATGGCCTCAGGTAACAACACATGACCCAACATGGCCTCAGGTAACAACACATGACCCAACATGGCCTCAGGTAACACATCACATGACCCAACATAGCCTCAGGTAACACAACATGACCCAACATAGCCTCAGGTAACACAGCACATGACCCAACATGGCCTCAGGTAACACAACATGACCCAACATGGCCTCAGGTAACACAACGTGACCCAACATGGCCTCAGGTAACACAGCACATGACCCAACATGGCCTCAAGTAACAGCACATGACCCAAAATAGCCTCAGGTAACACATGACCCAACATGGCCTCAGGTAACACAACATGACCCAACATGGCCTCAAGTAACACAACATGACCCAACATGGCGTCAGGTAACAACACATGACCCAACATGGCGTCAGGTAACACATCACATGACCCAACATGGCGTCAGGTAACACAACATGACCCAACATGGCCTCAGGGAACATATCACATGACCCAACATGGCCTCAGGGAACATATCACATGACCCAACATGGCGTCAGGTAACACAACACATGACCCAACATGGCCTCAAGTAACACAACATGACCCAACATGGCCTCAAGTAACAACACATGACCCAACATGGCCTCAGGTAACACAACATGACCCAACATGGCCTCAGGTAACACAACATGAGCCAACATGGCCTCAGGTAACACAACATGACCCAACATGGCCTCAAGTAACAACACATGACCCAACATGGCCTCAAGTAACAACACATGAGCCAACATGGCCTCAAGTAACACAACATGACCCAACATGGCCTCAAGTAACAACACATGAGCCAACATGGCCTCAGGTAACACAACATGACCCAACATGGCCTCAGGTAACACAACATGACCCAACATGGCCTCACAGCACACGACCACATAACCAACATAACCATAAAGCTCTCCCGGGACGCACTTTAATAAACTATAAAACGTCGACCAGTAACCCCCCCAGCCCCCCCAGCCCCCCCTTCCCCCCCCCCTAAAAAAAAATTGAAACATCATCGGTGGAAAAAAAAATGACGAAAGCAAATTGGACCTACGACAGAGGGGGGGGGGAGGGAGGATAGGATTGACGGGGGAGATAGAGGGATAGGGGGGCTTTGAGGGGGAATGGAATTGGATTGGGAGGGAGGGGGGAAGGATTGACGAGAAAGGGGGAATGGGCGGGGAATGGGGGATAGGGAGGGGGTTAGATTGGTAGGGGGGGATAGGGAGGGGTTAGAGGGGTTGATGGGGTCGGGATAGTTGGAGTGGGAGAGGGAGGATAGAGGGGCTGGGATAGCCTGAAGCCTGTGCCAAAAATGGTCGAGGGAGGGGTGAGGCTCAAGGGTGAGGCTCAAAGGGTGAGGCTCAAGGGTGAGGCTCAAGGGTGAAGCTCAAGGGTCAGGCTCAAGAGTGAGGCTCAAGAGTGAAACTCAAGTCTCAGCATGTCACAGTGAGACGCTCTTGAATTTTGTCGACCCCGACCACCGTGAGTCCCACACCTCAGACCATTCCCCCTGCAAAGTTGGGTGAGAGCAGCCCCAGACGCCTGGCCTCGGGCATGACAGCACTAGGACGCGTCCAGCGTAGGATGACAAAGTTTATCCCGCAAATCAGAAACCTTCCATGTGAAGAGAGCTTGAAGAATCTTAATTTACGATCTCAAGAAAAGCTAAAAGTTAGAATTGACGTGACTAAAATGTACAAGTAACTGACGGGGCATATCAAGGCAGATATTAATAAGGTATTAAATATATCAACACGAAATGGAACACGGAATAATGGCACTGGGAACTAACAGGATAAGGCTTTGGGATGGGACGGGGGAAAGGAATTGTCCCCATCCACTTGTGGACAGTCGGGGATTGAACCCGATATCAAGTGATATCAAATGATCAATCCCCATGCCATCCTTTCTGGATAAAATTGATGAAATATAAAATAAAGTATCCCAGTCTGGGAAGCAAATGTATCCATTAACAAGGAAGAATTAAAACTGGTGAGAAACCTAACACAAATTAACACAGTTATCACACACTATTTTAAACCTTCCAGTGAAATGCCGGGCGAGGATTTTCCTCCTTAATTAAGGCTTTACTCGCCTGTCACTTAGCGCTCTTAAGAGTGAGAATTTAAGTGGCTCTAATTGCTTTATTGTTTGACTAACTTTTAATACATTAATTCTGGAATTTATGGAGCTTAATTACTGTTGTATGGGGCTGTCTTACGTGTCATAATGCTCCAACTTAATTATGCAAATGGCTGCAATTTGTGGGTTTGCTCTAATTAGCAAACTGTTCTGATTTATAGATGCTGAATACCACTGTTTACTGCTGGCCTAATTTACTATAAGGTTCATATTTGCTTGGGGCTCACTTCTCGTTAATGGTATTATGTGTTTATATATGTTTGTGGTGGTTATCTGGTGTTATCAGCTGGTGTTATTAGCTGGTGTTATCACCTGGTGTTATTAACTGGTGTTATCACCTGGTGTTATCAGCTGGTGTTATCACCTGGTGTTATCACCTGGTGTTATCAGCTGGTGTTATCACCTGGTGTTATTAGCTGGTGTTATCAGCTGGTGTTATCACCTCGTGTTATCACCTGTTGCAGGAAATGCATTGCTGTATTAATAATTTAGTGTGATGTAATTCAGGGCTGTGTGTGTGTGTGTGTGTGTGTGTGTGTGTGTGTGTGTGTGTGTGTGTGTGTGTGTGTGTGTGTGTGTGTTGAATAGTTGCATTCCTGGGCAACCATGACCTATCTTCAACGTGTCTTCTGCACACACACCTTTCACCAAGCAGAACTAGATCAACATTGCAAGAAAGAATATTATAGTGCCACTTCGCAGCCAAACTCTCACCTGTTTGTGAAAACCTGTTGCAATCTTCCTCGTCGTATCGTCAATAAAACATTTAATTACTACTCTCAGTCATTCTCGAAGGTCCTTGATTGCAATTGGTTGGAGAGATGAGGATGCTCAAGCGTTGATTAGTCCACAAGGCTTATGACGTCAAAGGAGTTGACCAATCACTGATCGTGAACTGCGCACAGATTTGATGGAATAAAAAATTGGCGTTGTTACTGTTTTTAGAGCGAAGTTAAAGTTTTGGTTGGAAAATAGTGATTATATTTTCAGTATTGAATCATCCATTGGCAAATTGCGGTATTATTATTTAAATTATGTCTCAGGACGCCAGAATGGTTTTAGTCAAGGGAAATCTTGCTTGACAAACTTGCTGGAGTTCTACAAGAAGATGACAAATCCAACGCGAGAGAGGGCTGGGTGGACTGCACATTCCTTGACTGTCAGAAGGCATGTGATACGATCCCACGTCCAAGACTCCTACTCAAACTACAAAATCAGGCTGGTGTATCTGGAAGAGTCCCAAGGTGGGTGAGAGAGTACCTCCCAGGAAGGAAACAAAGGGTGAGAGTGAGAGCAGAGACATCAGAGTGGAGAGAGGTTACAAGTGGAGTACCACAAGGGGCGGTCCTAGACCCAGGCTGTTTCTAAGATATGTCAGTGGCCTGAGAGAGGGAATTGGCTCCTTCACATGAGTGTTTACTGACCATGCAACACAAACAGTTCAGCCTCCTGTTGTAGTACTTATAGTAACAGTGAGGACCGCAGTACATATATACCCACCTACAACGACATTAGAAAGTAGAAATTTAAACTATTGAGTTGGACAAACAGGAAAATTTTTTTTTAACTTGTGTTGCTTTGACAAACTAACCTAACCTAACCTCCCCTAACTAGGCTTAATAGGCGATATTTGAAGCCTAATATAGTACATATGTGTGCTATACTAGGCCCAGGAATATTGAACTGTTTTTAACCTTCATTTATTTAAAAAAAAATCCTTACTAGTCAGTATACTACTATCTAAAAGCTAAGTACGTACGAATAGTGACTATTGACCACCGTCACAGACAGGAGGATATGCTACAACGCCTGAGAAGAGTCAGGTAAGTGTTAGATTGTGAGGCATTGCAAGAGGATTCGGACTCTCCAGAAGTAATCTGAAAAATGGCTGCTAGAGTTTAACCCAACCAAGTGCAAAGTAATGAGGATTGTAACAAGTGTGTGAAGACCAGTGTAGCAGTATAGGATGAAGGGAAGACAGAGTCATCAAACATAAAAGGAGAAAGACCTGGGAGTGAACAGGACCCCAAATGAGGACCAGACCAGAAGATAAGGAGACGACGTTTCGGTCCGTCTTGGACCATTAGGAAGTGTGTGTGAGTCCACTCTCTCAGTCCACACTCAGTCCACACTCAGTCCACACTCAGTCCACACTCAGTCCACACTCAGCCCACACTCAGTCCACACTCAGCCCACACTCAGCCCACACTCAGCCCACACTCAGTCCACACTCAGTCCACACTCAGTCCACACTCAGTCCACACTCAGTCCACACTCAGCCCACACTCAGTCCACACTCAGCCCACACTCAGCCCACACTCAGCCCACACTCAGCCCACACTCAGCCCACACTCAGCCCACACTCAGCCCACACTCAGTCCACACTCAGTCCACACTCAGCCCACACTCAGCCCACACTCAGCCCACACTCAGCCCACACTCAGCCCACACTCAGCCCACACTCAGCCCACACTCAGCCCACACTCAGCCCACACTCAGCCCACACTCAGCCCACACTCAGCCCACACTCAGCCCACACTCAGTCCACACTCAGTCCACACTCAGTCCACACTCAGCCCACACTCAGTCCACACTCAGCCTACACTCAGCCCACACTCAGTCCACACTCAGCCCACACTCAGCCCACACTCAGCCTACACTCAGCCCACACTCAGTCCACACTCAGCCCACACTCAGCCCACACTCAGCCCACACTCAGCCCACACTCAGCCCACACTCAGCCCACACTCAGCCCACACTCAGCCCACACTCAGTCCACACTCAGTCCACACTCAGCCCACACTCAGCCCACACTCAGCCCACACTCAGCCCACACTCACACTAACAAAACATTGGTAGTAGCAGCTCTCTTTCTAACTTCTTTCTCTCGATGCTTCCTTCACTTTGTCCCTCCTTCATTTCCTTCACTTACATTCCTTCCCTTTCCCTCTCCATCCCCCTCTCCATCCCCCCTCTCCTCCCTCCCTCCTTCCTCTTCCACCCAGCAAAATATTACGGTGCCAGTCAGTGACGGTGCTCACTGGAGCCCGCCATCACAGGCACCTCACCGCTGGTGACCTGAATGGTGGTCCCGCTATGACACCTTTACTGCGCTCAAGCCTAACACCTGTGGAGCCTTACACCTGTGGAGCCTTACAGCTGTGGAGCCTTACAGCTGTGGAGCCTTACAGCTGTGGAGCCTTACAGCTGTGGAGCCTTGCAGCTGTGGAGCCTTGCAGCTGTGGAGCCTTACAGCTGTGGAGCCTTACAGCTGTGGAGCCTTGCAGCTGTGGAGCCTTGCAGCTGTGGAGCCTTACAGCTGTGGAGGCTTACAGCTGTGGAGCCTTGCAGCTGTGGAGCCTTGCAGCTGTGGAGCCTTACAGCTGTGGAGGCTTACAGCTGTGGAGCCTTGCAGCTGTGGAGCCTTACAGCTGTGGAGCCTTACACCTGTGGAGCCTTACAACTGTGGAGCCTTACAGCTGTGGAGCCTTACAGCTGTGGAGCCTTGCAGCTGTGGAGCCTTGCAGCTGTGGAGCCTTGCAGCTGTGGAGCCTTACAGCTGTGGAGCCTTACAGCTGTGGAGCCTTACAGCTGTGGAGCCTTGCAGCTGTGGAGCCTTACAGCTGTGGAGCCTTACAGCTGTGGAGCCTTGCAGCTGTGGAGGCTTACAGCTGAACTCTAGATAAGATTGTGTGATTCTCACTTTCTCTCTCTCTCTCTCTCTCTCAAGCAATTAAGTTGCTTTTGTGTAATATCGACGTGTGTGTGTGTGTGTGTGTGTGTGTGTGTGTGTGTGTGTGTGTGTGTGTGTGTGTGTGTGTGTGTGTGTGTGTGTGTGTGTGTGTGTTCAGATATACATACTCCATCAAATTCGAGTATTTAAATACGCCATCTCCTGTCTGTTGCATCAACTTGGGATGATAGGCTGACCCTCCATATCTCCAACGAGGATACGGGCTCACCATAGCCCGTGCTACTTGCGTAACTGCTTCGTGAATCTGGCCCCAAGTTCGTAAGTGCTTGCGTAACTGCTTCGTGAATCTGCCCCCAGGTTCGTAAGTGCTTGCGTAACTGCTTCGTGAGTCTGGCCCCAAGTTCGTAAGTGCTTGCGTAACTGCTTCGTGAATCTGCCCCTAAGTTCCTAAGTGCTTGCGTAACTGCTTCGTGAATCTGGCCCCAGGTTCCTAAGTGCTTGCGTAACTGCTTCGTGAATCTGGCCACAGGTTCGTAAGTGCATGCGTAACTACTTCGTGAATCTGGCCTCAGGGTCGTAAGTGCTTGCGTAACTGCTTCGTGAATCTAGTCCCGGGGATGACGCAACATATACCCCAGAGGGCCCTGTTTAATCTCAGGTATTGTGGCCCAATGGTTAAGGTCGTGTATTTGACGGTACCCAGTATGCAGGTTCGAATCCTCTTCATGGTTATTCCTGATTTTCTCTCAATTATTATTATTTTGATTATTTTTTATTTGTATAATTAATTTTTTTATTATACGCGATTATGTGTTATAATTGTGATTATTTAATTATTATTTTTAATATAATCACGTTAATTAAATGTGTAATTATAATAATACAAACAATTGAAATACAAACTATAAATGAATTTACTAATTAGCAATTACCTCAAACATTGTCGCCTCTTAAGAACTCTCTCGAAGTTTCCCAATTACAGGAAGCACTCCTCGTTACTATTGGTGTAAATGAAACAAGGCTATTAAACCCCACTAGAGGGGGGATAGGGGGGGGATCTGGAGGGAGAAAGGGGAGTGGATTATGTTAAATATGATTGGAAAGGAATATTGATTTCCTAAAGCGGGATTGAGGTCTTTAAAATCTCAATTAACGCCATAAGAATCCTACAAAGCGTTATTCAGCTCAAGAAGCCTCTCCAGGTGGATAGATTTTTTCTAATTACTTTTGTTATTGGAAGGTTTCTTAACGACGAAGTTTTACTGCTACGGGTTTTCTCGACTCGATTTTTATTGCCCCAGAATTTTATTCGGTAGTTTTATTCTCCATTAATTGTTAGCTTTTAATAATAAAGAATTTTTCTCAAACTTTTCGTGGAATTTTTGGACGCTTGAAACAGACTCCTCCAGACTTCATGCTCCTGAGAGTATCTTTATGCTCCTGATAGTATCTTTATGCTCCTGACAGTATCTTTATGCTCCTGATAGTATCTTTATGCTCCTGACAGTATCTTTATGCTCCTGATAGTATCTTTATGCTCCTGAGAGTATCTTTATGCTCCTGATAGTATCTTTATGCTCCTGAGAGTATCTTTATGCCCCTGAGAGTATCTTTATGCCCCTAAGAGTATCTTTATGCTTCTGAGAGTATCTTTATGCTCCTGACAGTATCTTTATGCTCCTGACAGTATCTTTATGCCCTTGACAGTATCATTATGCTTCTGAAAGTATCTTTATGCCCCTGACGTAGCTTTATGCTCCTGACAGTATCTTTATGCTCGTGACAGTATCTTTATGCCCCTGAAAGTATCTTTATGCCCCTTGACAGTATCTTTATGCTCCTGACAGTATCTTTATGCTCCTGACAGTATATTTATGCTCCTGACAGTATCTTTATGCTCGTGACAGTATCTTTATGCTCGTGACAGTATCTTTATGCCCCTGAAAGTATCTTTATGCTCCTGACAGTATCTTTATGTTGCTGACAGTATTTTAATGCTCCTCTCAGTATCTTAATGCTCCTGACGTAGCTTTATGCTTCTGAAAGTATCTTTATGCTTCTGACAGTATCTTTATGCTCCTGACAGTATCTTTATGCTTCTGACAGTATCTTTATGCTCCTGACAGTATCTTTATGCCCCCTGACAGTATCTCTATGCTTCTGAAAGTATCTTTATGCTTCTGACAGTATCTTTATGCTCCTGACAGTATCTTTATGCCCCCTGACAGTATCTCTATGCTTCTGAAAGTATCTTTATGCTTCTGACAGTATCTTTATGCTCGTGACAGTATCTTTATGCTCGTGACAGTATCTTTATGCCCCTGAAAGTATCTTTATGCTCCTGACAGTATCTTTATGTTGCTGACAGTATTTTAATGCTCCTCTCAGTATCTTAATGCTCCTGACGTAGCTTTATGCTTCTGAAAGTATCTTTATGCTTCTGACAGTATCTTTATGCTCCTGACAGTATCTTTATGCTTCTGACAGTATCTTTATGCTCCTGACAGTATCTTTATGCCCCCTGACAGTATCTCTATGCTTCTGAAAGTATCTTTATGCTTCTGACAGTATCTTTATGCTCCTGACAGTATCTTTATGCCCCCTGACAGTATCTCTATGCTTCTGAAAGTATCTTTATGCTTCTGACAGTATCTTTATGCCCGTATCTGTACTGTCAGGATGTACACTACCCACGACCACCGCCACTCCTGGCCCCGTGCTGCCGGCCTCGTACCTTGGGTAAACAATCTCTTCTATATAGACAGATTTTTCCTGTAAACACATTACTTACATATAATGATTTTCCTAATTAAATGTATCGGTAATCTTTTCAATTTATTACTTTTTTTTTCCTAAATAGGTTAAACAATTATTTGATTGTAAATGTTATTTTGAAAATTGATGAAATGATCGTAAATTGTGTAAACAAAAGCAGGAGCGGGCTGGGAACTGGGGCTGTTTGAGCACCTCTTTTACACCACAAACACAAAAGTCGTCAAATTGTTTTGCTAGACCTGATGGATTAATTTTCGGTGAGATTGTATGAGGCGGGTAGTTAGTGGCGTGAGTGAGGGAGGGGGGGTGAGGGAGAGGGAGTGAGGGAGTGTGTGAGGGAGAGGGAGTGAGGGAGTGTGTGAGGGAGTGTGTGAGGGAGAGGGAGTGTGTGAGGGTGAGAGAGTGAGGGAGTGTGTGAGGGAGGAGTGAGGGAGTGTGTGAGGGAGGAGTGAGGGAGTGTGTGAGGGAGAGGGAGTGTGTGAGGGTGAGAGAGTGAGGGAGAGTGTGTGAGGGAGAGAGAGTGAGGGAGAGTGTGTGAGGGAGAGAGAGTGAGGGAGTGTGTGAGGGTGAGAGAATGAGAGAGAGTGTGTGAGGGAGTGAGGGAGTGTGTGAGGGAGTGTGTGAGGGAGAGGGAGTGTGTGAGGGAGTGTGTGAGGGAGTGTGTGAGGGAGAGAGAGTGAGGGAGAGTGTGTGAGGGAGAGTGTGTGAGGGAGAGAGAGTGAGGGTGTGTGTGAGGGTGAGAGAATGAGAGAGAGTGTCAGGGAGAGGGAGTGAGGGAATGAAAGGGTGAAAGAGATGGAGGTTTAGTATGCAGGATAGAGCTGGAATTCTAGTATGGAGGAGTTTTATAACTAGAGTACTGGTATGGAGGAATGAAGTAGATGGAGTACATCGCTCTAGACGACATAAATATTACGGATCATATAGACCTAAGTAACCATAGAGAGACAATAGCTGGAGATGATGGCTGCAACAGTAAAGGCAACATCAGGGACACACAGTTACACGCCGTTGTAATGTTGAAGGTAATATTGCGCACTACTATCAACCCTCATGTCTGCAACTGACACAAGTGTTGCACATCACACCAGCTCTCAGTTATCTTCTTTAAGTTATCTTTAGATGATTTCGGGGCTTTAGTGTCCCCGCGGCCCGGTCCTCGACCAGGCCTCCACCCCCAGGAAGCAGCCCGTGACAGTTGACTAACACCCAGGTACCTATTTTACTGCTAGGCAACAGGGGCATAGGGTGAAAGAAACTATGCCCATTGTTTCTCGCCGGCGCCAGGGATTGAACCCGGGACCAAAGGATCACAAATCCAGCGTGATGTCCGCTCGGCCGACCGGCTCCAGTTGCAGTGGCTCTCCGCCTTGCTGCCACAATCCAAATA